AGGTGTATGCTCTGTGTCAAAAGCAGGAGTACGAATTTCTCCTGTATTTATGAATTCAGTGCACTCCCATCCTCCCTCACTGACATGGGAAACTACCCAGATGTTTGAACCTCTCAGTGTGAATAATAAGTCAGAAAACAGCAGGTTTTAGTTGAAGTCATAATAATTCCACCCTCTCTGTAATGTGCAGGCAACCGTTTGCAATAAGAAAAATCAAATAAGAACAGCTTGAATAGTTTAACACATCTAATGTCATGAGTAGTTACTCAAAATTTAACACATAATCCCTCTTTATATGACTGCTACATTCTAAAAGGTATTTAGTCTTAAACAGGGCACTTGTTTGTTGTTCAGACCTGCAGTAAATATAATTCATGGCCAGAAGAGGTGTCAAAAGTATGAATGTATAAAAGTATAAGTATAAATCCTGCTGTTTAAACACTTTGAGGAAGTTAGAATTGAAACTTCAGCTTTTTACTCAAGTAAACATGAAAAAGTACCATTTTTAAAACTACTTAAAGTATAAAAGTAAAAGTAATGCAGGAAAAATATTTAAGGACATTAACTATATATTTACTGCACATTGCACGGGCCTATCAAAGGAAGATTTTCTGAATGATAGTTTTACTTATACTTAATTTTCTTAATTTTATAACTAAAGCAAGTGTAACTTTGCACCATCTTGAAAATCTCTAACCAAGAAGAAATTATTTGACTTGAAGAAAAAAAATGATTTTGGTGGGTTTTTTTTTTTTTTTTTAAATACCAACAGGCCATAATAAAAATGAGCTTAAATTCAACAAAACTAATTAGTCTATTTTTAAAATGTAAGGAGTAGAAAGTAAAATATGTAAAAATGAATTACTCCAGTAAAGTATAGATATCAAAAATTTCTATTTAAGTAAGGTAACGTAGTATTTGTACTTTGTTACTTGACACCTCTGATGGCCAAGAATAAGCCTCTAGCAGTATTTCTACAAATCCTTTATTAAATAAATCAATCAAATCCAAGAGATGTTCAACAGCGTTTAAATCACGTAGCTGAAGTCAGGTAGCTACGGTGTCCACTTGGAATCTCAGAACCTTCTCTGAAAAAAGTCTTGGTGAACTTTAGTAATGTTTGGGGTCATTGACCTGTTTAAGGAACAAATATACCCAAAGCTTCATCTTTCTAACAGACGGCATGATGGTTTTCTTTGCAGCTTTTCTAGCAGCATCATAACTGGCAGGCTTCACTTTAGCACGGTATTTGCAGCATTTAAGTTTTTCATTTTAGCTGTAATCATATTTGGGATATGCATTTTCTTTAGGCTTTAATTGGTAACTGTGCAGGTCTTATACAAAGCAGGGTGCCCTTCATCATTTAGTATGATCCCTACTTTAAAAACAGAATCCTCAAAGATCGTTACCTCCAGCTCTCGCTGCAAGTTCTTTTTTTTTTTTGTAGTCGGTTGAGGGTTTTGATGACCTGCCCCCTCAGGAAATAAGTGGCAGCTGTTAGTAGTTTTATCTTTCAGCTGCACCCAGTCAACATAGCAGCTAAACCTTTAAATTTGGACCTAACGGCACCAATGAAGTCACATCAGATGAGCTTTAGCCCATCCCAGATGTGAGAAAGTGTGCAAGTGTGAGAGAATCTGATCAGAGGGGGAATTTTCACACAGCAGTAGGCATTATGAGAAGCTCTTGGTTGAATTTATATAAAACACCTGCAGGATTAGGTTCATTTCACTATCAAAATACTTGATTTCACAAACTACCTGTCACTTGTTGTGATACAAACACCTTCATAATCTTCTTAATAAACTTAATATGAAAAAATTAGGGCTAAAACAGTTAATCTGATTAATCTCGATTAATCGATTATTAAAATAATTGTCTACCAATTCAGTAATCGATGAATCGTTAACTGTAGAATAGAGACTCTAAAACATGCCTTTAGCTGACAGAGCAACTCACTTAGACGAGGAATTTTTTAAGCCAAAATAATAAAAAAAAACATAAAAGCATTTTGCATTAAGGTAAAACAAACATTTTCATCTGTCAATATGCTCTATCAAGAATTCCTCAAGTAGAAATGTTTTAGTTTCAGTTGGTTTAATTCTATAAAAGGTCGTCTTCAAAGGACCGTTTGCTATAAGATTATCAATCAAGGAAATAATCAACAGATTATTTGATTTGCAAAATAATCGTTACTTGCAACCCTAGAAAGAATACATTCATTGAAGGATGAATTTCTACATGATGGAACGACAAAGGATCCTCCTAGCAACCTTCTTGGTGAGGGAAGAAGAATTTGCAGACTGAAGATTGCAACAGGTTAGTGGTTGCGTGGTTCATGCTTTTCTCGTGTCATCATGTCACAAACACATCTGCCTGTCAAACCAACATGGTGGAAACTTGTGCCCTGATAACACATGACATAAGGCTGCCATCTAGTGGCTTCTATCCATCTCATGCTACACCTGTTTTTTTTTTTTTTATTACTTAGTCCTATCATGGCTGTTTATATTCTTTTTTTTTTCTTTTAAATTACACCAAATCATTTGATTGGGACATAACATAAATATCTCATTTTAATCATCATCACAAAATTACAAAAAAACATAATGGTGCTAGAGAAACAGTGCAAAACCAGATCCTACATAGACGTTTTCAAACATTTGTTAGCTTGGAGTTCATGAGCTCGATCAGATGTAAACCTGTCCTCCTTACCTGAGACACAGAATCATTCACCCGTAGTCGACAAACTAGTGGTAAAACATGGTGACATTATTCTGTATGGCAAACAATGCAAGAAAAGTAGAAATAAACAAAAGAAAAAGCCAGTAGCTTAAAATCCCTTATTACCCATATTATGCTCAGTATTTATTTGAGAAAAAGAAAACCCTTTAAAGCATAGAAATTTTTACTTCACCTTATACCAATATGAGTAATCTTGAAAAAAATCTTTTTAGTCTAAAATAAGTGCTAAAGTCAGACTGATGTGGATGTTCTAGGAACAATGTGCCACATCAGCACATATATTAAATATTCTAGAAAAATCATTTTTCAAGTCAAGTTACACCATAAAACTTAAAATAAAACACCGTTAGAAATTAGTTATTAATTTGACATATGAAGAAAATTAAAATCCCTTAAAGAAAAAAATAGAATAATAGATGTCCAGGACTAGAGGCTGAAGTCCAGACTCTGTAGGGTAGATCCAGACTCCCATACAGAGAGTGGAAATCAAATGGTTTTATGGCAGCTGTATTCTGATGAAACAAAAAATTTATTTCCGAAAGGAAAAAACAAAACAATCATTTCGAAAATGTCTTTTTTTTTTTTGGATAAAAATTGTTTTGATGTTCTTAAGAAACCGCAGCTGTAAGATACAAAGTTGTTCTAAAAAGCAGCTCGTAAAAAGCCAAGTTTCTGTGATCTATACGAAAGACCATCATCATCATCAGCATCCCGTGAAAACTGAAAGAAATCTTTTATCCGACAAAACTAACAAAAAATAAAAAAACTCCCTACAAGGAATCAAGATGTTGGCAATATTGTGCTCTTTTCTTTAGCTTTAGTGTTTCACATGTTAAATACCAAAGTTTTAAAGTACACTATATTGCCAAAAGTATTTGCTCACCCATCCAAATTATTGGAATCAGGTGTTCCAATCACTTCCATGGCCACAGGTGTATAAATTCAAGCACCTAGGCATGCAGACTGTTTTTACAAACATTTGTGAAAGAATGGGTCGCTCTCAGGAGCTCAGTGAATTCCAGCGTGGAACTGTGATAGGATGCCACCTGTGCAACAAATCCAGTCGTGAAATTTCCTCGCTCCTAAATATTCCACAGTCAACTGTCAGCTGTATTATAAGAAAATGGAAGTGTTTGGGAACGACAGCAACTCAGCCACGAAGTGGTAGGCCACGTAAACTGACGGAGCGGGGTCAGCGGATGCTGACGCGCATAGTGCGAAGAGGTCGCCAACTTTCTGCAGAGTCAATCACTACAGACCTCCAAACTTCATGTGGCCTTCAGATTAGCTCAAGAACAGTGCGCAGAGAGCTTCATGGAATGGGTTTCCATGGTCGAGCAGCTGCATCCAAGCCATACATCACCAAGTGCAATGCAAAGCGTCGGATGCGGTGGTGTAAAGCACGCCGCCACTGGACTCTAGAGCAGTGGAGACGCGTTCTCTGGAGTGACGAATCGCGCTTCTCCATCTGGCAATCTGATGGACGGGTCTGGGTTTGGCGGTTGCCAGGAGAACGGTACTTGTCTGACTGCATTGTGCCAAGTGTAAAGTTTGGTGGAGGGGGGATTATGGTGTGAGGTTGTTTTTCAGGAGCTGGGCTTGGCCCCTTAGTTCCAGTGAAAGGAACTCTGAATGCTTCAGCATACCAAGACATTTTGGACAATTCCATGCTCCCAACTTTGTGGGAACAGTTTGGAGCTGGCCCCTTCCTCTTCCAACATGACTGTGCACCAGTGCACAAAGCAAGGTCCATAAAGACATGGATGACAGAGTCTGGTGTGGATGAACTTGACTGGCCTGCACAGAGTCCTGACCTCAACCCGATAGAACACCTTTGGGATGAATTAGAGCGGAGACTGAGAGCCAGGCCTTCTCGTCCAACATCAGTGTGCGACCTCACAAATGCGCTTCTGGAAGAATGGTCAAAAATTCCCATAAACACACTCCTAAACCTTGTGGACAGCCTTCCCAGAAGAGTTGAAGCTGTTCTAGCTGCAAAGGGTGGACCGACGTCATATTGAACCCTATGGATTAGGAACGGGATGTCACTTAAGCTCATATGTGAGTCAAGGCAGGTGAGCAAATACTTTTGGCAATATAGTGTATCTGACAATGAGGTGGAGAACATTTTCTCAGCTTCACCTCCACTTTGGTTACCACACCTATGTTTTTGTCATATTTCTCAGCTGAGCTGTACAGGACATTCAGCTGGAAAACATTTAGAAGAATATCATTATCTGGTTTGTATTTGCACATACTTTTTTTTTTGTTTGTTTGTTTCACAGTAGTTTATTTCAGTCCCAGCTTTTCCACAACTGAATATTGAGTTCCTGATGATGGATTTACTTGGAGATTGGTAGTTTATCCTGAAAAACAGAAAACAGAACAAAAAAACTGATTTATTTACAATTCTATTTGTTTTGGATAGTTCTTTCTGAAATAGTATGTGTTATCAGTTTAACTGTTCTTATTAATAATTTTAAAGACTGAAATCACTATAAAATGGTAGAGTGGATTATACTGAAATAGAAAGACGAAAAAGGAAGTTCAACAGATAAATATATCTATATTAGAAAGTGTGATGGGCATAAAGAATCATAGGATTTTTTTTTTTTTTTTTGCAATAGGCCCGTCCAGTAGCTTAACATGTTTTTGAAGGCAAAAAGTAAAAGAAACTTTCCTAAACGAGTGCTGGTAAACAGAGTCAAAAAATGCTTCAGAGCAATAAATTCTTGGCATACCATTGACAAATATTTATACATGTACGTACCCAACCTCCTTGCTCAACAACCCACGCGCTGACGCGGTTGTTGAGGAAGTTAGTCATAGCGCCCTGCACTTTTCTTTTCAGATCTGGGGAGACTTTCTTCACATAGAGGCCTAACGCCACAGTGGCGTTGATCAGCTGCATCTCTGGGGCGACGTCAGCACCCTTACAGGAGTACGATTCACAAATGGTCTCCACAGCTTTGCTGAATGCTGCATCTACGGCCTGGGGAAAATACATTTTTATTACTGCTACTTCAAGAACATTAATAGAATAATCCTGTTTTATTAGCAAGGCACCAAAGTTTTCTCGCATTAATAACACTTCCATACTTCTTCTGCCACACAATATACCATTAAAAGCTTTCTCTCAGAGATATTAAAATAAAATCAGGTAAAGGGCCTTTAAAGGAATAGTACACCCAAAACATGATTAGCCTTCATTTTCTACCCACCCCCATGCTGAACAACACTCTGGAGTACTTTTTTGATATCTCAAATGCATCTGGAGGTCTGGGAGGCTTCTTGCTGTCTGCTGACATTCAAATAATGGAGGTCCATGGTGCCCGAGGCAGAAAGGTCCATAAAAGTCCACAAGAAACGTGTCAATATTCCTCCATACTGCTCGTCCAATGTATTCCAAGTGTCCTGAGTGGGTAGCGTCCATAATTTACTCGAAACAAAGTCATTTAGAATGTTTTTAGAGCCTAAACAGTAGTGTATAGGATTTCCTAAAAGCGCGTTCACGAGTCTACGGAAACCGCGGCAGACCAAACCAGATGAAAGTGCTCATTCAGCGTCTGCTCTGCCGATAATGCAAGCGTAGAAGAAGAAATGTGCTGTTTACCTGTGCAAAGAAAGAAACAACGAAAGAAAAATGTCTGAGGACTTCAGTGTTGAGGAAGAGCATGAGTTCTTTGCCGAGCTGAATGCGCACTTTCATCTGGTTTGGTCTGCCGCGGTTTCCGTAGACTCGTGAACACGCTTTTAGGAAATCCTATACACTACTGTTTATGCTCTAAAAATATTCTAAATGACTTCGTTTCGAGTAAATTCTGGATGCTACCCACTCAGGACACTTGGAATACATTGGACGAGCAGTATGGAGGAATATTGACACGTTTTTTGTGGACTTTTATGGACCTTTCTGCCTCGGGCGCTATGGACCTCCATTATTTGAATGTCAGCAGACAGCAAGAAGCCTCCCAGATCTCCAGATGCATTTGAGATATCAAAAAAGTACTCCAGGGTGTTGTTCAGCATGGGGGTGAGTAGAAAATGAAGGCTAATCATGTTTTGGGTGTACTATTCCTTTAAGTACGTTTATATCATTGTTAATTTGGCTACGTTCACACCGCAACCTGAAGTGTCCCAAATCCGATTTTTTTTTTGGCCCATATGCGACCTGGATCTGATCTTTTCATGGCTGTCTGAACAACACAGAACCGATTTTTTCCAATCAGACCCAGCCACTATGTTGTCCTGGATCCGATACGAATCTGATCCTTTCAGATGCGACCTGTGTGTGAACGGTCAGGTCACATTCATCCGACCTCAACGCCATTAATAACCCGACATAGATCACTATTCTGCTTCTTGCTACACAGAAGTGCCAAGAAAAACAAACACCATGGCGGACAATGATGCGGAGAGCAGTATTGTTTTTTTAGCCATCTTGAAAAGATTGAGGTTTTATGGTTTGGAAAGATCTCTGAATTCGCTCCAGCACTACATCCATGTTTACCTCCATAAACGCGAAGCTGTGATGGCTTTTGACGTCATTGCGTCCTCTACTGCGCACACAGGAGATCACATACAAGTCGCATATATTTGGAAATGTGAATGGCAACGCAAAAAAATCGGATTTCACAAAAAAATCGGAATCGGAACTGAGCATCAAGGCCTGCAGTGTGAACGTAGCTGAAGTTACCTTTTTAAAATAATGTTAGCATCAAGCCTGGTACCTTTACTAACACGGTATGGTATATGTTACAGTCTTTCAACAGTGATATCAAATCAGGCATCTGTTGATATTCTCAATTCAGTCGGTGTAGGGTTTGATGGGAAAAAAATAAAACTGGATCTGTGGATCTCTAAAGTAAAGGAAGGGGTTGTCCGTCATGGAATATGCTGAATTTGGAAATGCTGGTAGCCCATCAGAAATCTGATCTAATATCTCAATATCTTTTATCTTGTTGTGAAGGAGTCTGATAGACTCAAAGACAATGAAGCCAATTTAAAGGTCAACTCGATAATCAGGTTCTGTTTTATGCTGATTCTTAACACACTATGTGAAGCTGCATCTGCTACCACTATAAATAGTTAGCCATTGCTAATGATGCATAAAAACTCCAATGATCTAAAAGCTGGTTTTGCATCTTCTCATTTATTAGTTGTCTAAGAGAAAATGAAAATCAGCTAAATTCAATACTTGCTAAAGCATCACAAATATTAGAGAGATTAGGATCAGAATGCACTGATTTACAGTTGATAAAAGCAGCTTTTGTTTACACTCATATCAGTGGTGTCTGGCTTTTACAGACGAATACAGGGCAACATAAAGGTCAAAAATGGGAACTTCTAATAACCTTTAGTGTTTGCTAAACAATACAGACTCATAGGGGCATGAAGCCTGATTTCTTGTTTATGAATTTAAAAAATGTTTTACTTAGGAACAAAATTGTCCATTATAACTGGTAGAGTAGTCAGAAATATAGATAATTAAGTCTATTTCTGCTGACGCCACTATGGTGATACTGTAACTTACCTCGTTTGCAGCGGCTTTGCTCATCTCTTTTAGTAGAGGTTTGATTTTTTCTTCATTCAGAGCATCAGCCACAGTTCTCAGCTTATCCGCAACTAAAACCGGGTCGAAATCATCTTCTAAAAGATAAAAACAGAAACCTGTTAATAAGCATCTTAATTAAAGGAGGCCTTAAATTTCACCCAGAACAACAATTTATGCACAATGTTTTGAACAACATCTAATCAAAGCACCTTTCCTGCAAATATGTTAAGGCCATTTTTGCAATAGTATCTTTTTCTTGTGTTGCAATTTTTATTTGACTTCATTTATGTTAAAAAAGGACTTTAGGCTGGTTAATACATACTGCTAAAAATAATAAAGAGAACACTCACATAACACATCCTAGATCTAAATGCATGAAAGACTCTAATTGAATAGTTTGTTTTGTGGAAAGTATCGGCCGATCACCGATCTCCGAAAATTAAGAAAATTGAGGCAGATCGATCAGTGCATTCCTCAATAGAATAGAATAGAAAAGAATAGAAAAGAATAGAATAACCCCTACCTGGGAAAGGTCCATCTATCAGCAGGAGGAATGTGAGAGAAAATGAAAGCACATAGAAATGAGCAATGACAATAACAATTAAAACAGATTGTTGTGAAATATTTCTTGGAAAACACAGTTTTGAAAAAATAAATGGGATATTCCAAAATGCCCATGGTTACATTGCAGTGAATAGTAATTCAGGGTTGATATGATCGAGGAAAACTGAAGTTAACTTTCTAGTTTGTGAGCACAAACCTGGCCTATAATGTCCTTTCTGATTCTGATAGGAATGAAAATATATATATATATATCTCTTCATCTCACTCAAAGCCTTCTGTGGGTTTTAGTAATGGTGACTTTTGTTAAATATAAAGAGTCTTTGGGAGTCCAAAGGAGGGGGAACCAACTCACCGTTTGACAGGTATTCATATTGTTCAGCCTGTATACTGTCAGTATATTAAAGACATGTCCCTTTGTCTTAAAATTAGAGACAATCTAAACAGCTGATATTCAGGAGTAATCAATTTAGAATAAATGGAAAGTTAATGGAAATTAACCTCCAATGACAAAGCAACTTTAGTTCCGACAGACATAAAAGAGGTGGTGACTCACGCGGTTCACAAGGATGAGAACACAAACACACCAAGACATAAGAAAACCAAACCCTTACCTGGACCGTCACTTTCCACCTCTGATGAGTCAAGCATACGAGATTTTGCTTCAGTTTCATCTGCCAGTAGGAAAAAAATGACTTCTGACGTTTGATCGTGAACTGTATGTAGGTTTGGAGCCATTGCCAGGCAGAAAGATAAGAAAGCCCTAACAGCTCTGAGGAGCGCAGGCGCACTGACACCGAGCGGCCAAGCCAGCCTCTTCTTCTTCTTCTTCTTGTTGTGTTTATTGGCGGTTGGCAACAAACTTAATAGTAGCATTACCGCCACTTACTGGTATGGAGTGTGGCTCTCGTTGGTCTAACGCTCTTTTTGTATATATATATCTATATATACTCATACATACACCTACCAACCCACACAAACAAACTTACATCCATATTTATATTCTACTCATCACTATCATCCACACATTCACTCTTATGTCTACTCTATCAAATTCTACTGAATATCTTAGTTTTCTTTAAGAATCTAATAACTATTTGTATATGTTTGCTCTCCAAACTTTCCCTCAAAATATCTATTAACATAAATTTTACCTTAATACTTTCAAACTCTTTTATCATACATCTTCTCTCTCTTTCATATTTATCACATTCTAGAATAACATGTTCTACTGTTTCCCATTCTCCACAATATTCACATTTACCAGTTGCATGTTTTTGAATTTTAAAAAGTGAGTAGTTAAGTCCAGTATGCCCAAATCTTATCCTGGTTATCACTCTTTCCTCTTTTCTATTTCTTTTTCCCTTTCTTCTTTCTTTAACCTTCTTCTGAATTTTATAAAACCATCTTCCTGTTATTTCTTCATCCCACCTTTTCTGCCACTTTTCCATCAGTTTTTCCTTAACCATACTCTTTCCTTCAGCTTTACTTGTTTTAACTTTAATGCTAATTGGTTTTTGAATTGCCCCTTTTGCTATTTTATCTGCTCTCTCATTTCCTTCTATTCCAATATGCGCTGGAACCCATACAAAAATAACTATCACACCCATATTTTTAATTCTATATAATGTGTGAAAAATTTCTAATAATATGTCCATTCTACTATCCGATTGCTTGTTTTTAATACTTAATAATGCAGAACTTGAATCTGAACAGATTATTCCAAGCCAGCCTCTACGTTGGAATTTTTTTTTATTTATTTTTTTAGTTCGCGCGAATATACTAAGAATTACGGTAGTAACTCCTAAGAATGTTTCAAAATAAGATGAGTAATTTTGACATATATACTTTTCCCTCATACTTTTCTTTTTTTTTACATATTTGACATGGTTAGTTAATAATTTATTGAGCTATTTTTTCTTGTGTTAATAATAATAATAATAATAAATAATTGAACTTTCCTCATCTCACATTGGAGATATTTACCTGCATTTTAACCATCCCCTTGGGGAGGAGTGGGCTGCCATTGCGGGGCGCCTGGGGAGCAATTGGGGGTTAAGGGTCTTGCTAAGAGACCCAGAGTGGCAGTCTGGGGGAGTGGGACTCGAACTCTAGAACCTCAGGGTTCCAAGCTCTATGCCCTAAACACTAGGCCGCCACTCCCCTACTTAACAATAAACATGACAGTGAATATTTTAACCCTTATAACTGACCAATTTATAATTTGCTCAATTATAAATAAAGTATCTTGTAGTACAAAATTAACAATAATATCTTGCATGGCTCCATTTTGTGGTATGGTCATATAAAAAGGTGGTTTCAGGCTCACGGTTAGGGCAGCGATCGCAGCCTTGTTTTTCAGAAAAGAAGGATGTCAAGAGTTCGGTGTAGAGTTACATTCTGTGTCATATTCTCTATATGACAAACAGCATCAGAAAGGGTGGATTGTGTTATAGCACAGTTGTGTTATTAAGTGTAAAATTTCAGCATAACCCTAACTTGGGCTTAATTTTGATGGCCTTTAATTCCACATCAGATCTGGATGAATTTTTAGGAGTCACATCTGGAGGTGTTCGACTATAATTTCCAAATGGAAGCTTTCACATAAAACAAATAATTTAGCAGAAATATTAACAACTTAGGTCAAAGAGATTATATGAAGGGGTTTCTTTAATTTGGAAATTGAAGATCAATGAGGTTCAGTCACAATTGGAGATTTTCAGCTCTCATTGTGGATTCGAAACCCTTTACGAAAAACATATAGCTTAGCAACAAGATCGACAGCAACTTTGCACAAAGAAAAAGTGCAGCTTTAAGTGGGCTTCATTTTTGATATTCCATGTGATTTAGTTGGAGTTTGAGAATTCACATGGAGGGCATCATCATGTCATGTGACTACTTTACCATTTGTTTTAGAGTTGGTATAAAAAGGGTAAAGGTATTTATTGTCAAAACACACGAAAAAAAATAGCATAAAGCGGAAGAAATAATTAATTTATTTCAAATTTGTAAAAAAAAAAAAAAAAAGAAAGAAAGAAAAGAAAAATGAGGAAAAAGTACATATGTGTAAAAAATGCATGTCTTATTTTGAAACATTTTCATAGGCGTTACTACCGTAATTCTTGTTCGTGCGACCTTAAAAAAAAAAGAAAAAACGCGTGAAGGCTGGCTTGACTGTCTAGGCTGGCTTTAGCGAGATGCACTGAGGCAGGGCGGTGGTTCTTCTTCACACGCAGCACCTATAAGCATCCAGTCCAACAACCCTGTCTGGATTTAGAAGATACAAATGAACACAGCTTTCCTGGGGGTGGGAGTCTGTTAATTTATCAAATAACATACAGAGACTTTCCCTAAAAGAGACCAGCTCTACAGAGTTAATCCTTTTGATACAATCCAGCCTGTTTGAAATGTGACCTATTACAGGGACTGTTGCAGCAGTTTTGTTGTTGAAACTGAACATTAAAGAACAGTGAGATCCTGACGCAAACCAACTCAAAAAGTTAGGTTTCCTGCATTTCGCAACAAAAAAAACGAAACTCACCGTAACTTTTACATATTGAAATAAGCAGAAACTTAACGGTAGGCCTGTATAAATATTGGCAGCTCATTCAATAATGTCAAAGATTACAACCTTGGTTTCTGAAATAACATAATTCTCCCTATATATAACACTTAAGCTACGGTCACACTGTTGTTCTTAATACTCAATTTCTATTTTTCTTTTTGTGAAATCCGATTGTTTCATGTGGTCTTTTATATTTCCAGTTGTATTTGATCTCCCATATGAACTGCATGCGTACAGTTTATGTGTCCCGCATGCGCAGTAGAGGACGCAATGACGTCACAAGTATTTGTTTACGAAAGTAAAGCTTACTGGTAGCGCTGCTGGAGAGGATCTAGCGATCTTTCCTTTCTTTTCCAACCCCAGTCAGCGCATTAACAATGCAATCTTTTCTAAAGATCAAAAGCAAAGACTGATCTCCGCATCATCTTCCGCCATGCTTGTTGTTTCTCTTCCTGCTTCTGTGTTGCAACACGCAGAGGCCTTGCTGTATTAATGACGTTCAGGTGTGATGAATGCGACCTGGCCCTTCAGATACAGCAATGGGCATAATTGACCTCTGTTGTTCAGACTGTCATGAAAAGATAAAAAAACAGGTCGCATATGGGCAAAAATGTAATAAAAAAAAACATATTTAGGTCAGTTCTGGTTACAGTGTTAACATACCCTAGTTTTACAGCTTTGATCAAACCACCAACCCCCTCAAATAAGTTTTTTTTTTTTGTTTTTTTTTTATCGTTCACCAATATGTTATGATTGTGGTTTTGGGTATTATTAGCCAGCTCTGTGGTTATGTTTAGGGCCGGAGCTAGATGGGGGGGCCATGGCCACCCTTAGCCAATCATTGGCCACCCCTACCATTCCCCCCCCCCCCTCTAACACAGATGGTGGCAGCAGTAATACTGTCAAGTGGAATATTAAAAACAATTTTTGTGGTTAATTATACACATCAATATACTAACATCAAAGATGAAAAGTACGGAATTCCTGCTCTTTTCAGAACTGGATTTTGGGTTATATGGAGTAAAGAGAAAATGTGTCTCTAAGAGTCTTCAGTGAAATAACGATAAATAACAATTTTAATAAAAACGTATCAAATAATTAATTTATGTAGATATTAGTGCTTGTAAATATCAATTTTATGCAGAATGTTTATTGACACTAGTAGAAAAGTAATGACAATGGAAAAGATTTACGCCCCAGAACTCAAAACTGAAAGAATTTTATCCACTATTCTTTTTATTTAGAAAGCACTGATGTTAAAGTATCTATTTGTTTGCAAAGGCTGTAGGAAAAAATAGTTTGTCTTTATTTAGAAAATAGGGATGATTTGCTCATTAATTTTCCTGTTGGAACAGTGTAGATTCACCCGGAGATTCTGGTGCTTATCCGCTTTTGGCCAACCCTCAGTATCCATTTGTTATTGCCTGGCCACCCTTATAAAAATGTCACTGACCACACCTTTTTTTCTCTGCTATCTCTGTAAATACTTATTCATGTACAGACAACAACCGGGTTATTATTTACAATATGTACCTTGTTAAGGAAACACCTCTAAACAACAAAAACAACAACAACAAAAAGTTGTTTTTTTTGTTTTTTTGTTGTTGTTTAGAGGTGTTTCCTTAACAAGGTGTATGGAAGGAGGTTTGCTGCTGTTACCTTGTCTATCTTTATTACTTTTTCATTCAACAGATTTTACTACTAGATGAGTGATGTCTTTCCTTTATGAAGTTAGATTTAGACTTAGACAAACGTTATTTTATTTTTTTTTTGCACAGAGTTTATACAAAACGAAATTTCGATGCATGCAGCTTTTAACAGTGTGAACAGTTTACAACAGTGAAATGAACATTACCATTTAGAAAGTGCAGCAGTGATCAATAATATAGAGAGTGTAGGGAAAAAGGAAAATTTATCATATGTAAATACAATTACAATCTAATTAGATATGAATGCAACCATATCACTGAGTTATTATTGATTATCTATAACCACTATCTATTTATCTATTTCCACTAATCCAATGTGGATATGTGGATCAGGAGTAAGCTTTTATAAGTTATTGTGTTGTTTGTGTGTTGTTGTTTTTTTTAAACAAATTCATATAAAATACTTCTTTTCATAAAAGTATTAATAGTTATTTCTTATTCCAAAAAAGTAAAATAATAATAATTAAAAAAAAGCAATTTTTTAGCACTTGTTATTTTTTCCCCTGAAAATTCCGGCCTTGATAAACCTTACCTTTCCCTCTTTCCCTGACCTCATGTGTAACTGAAGGCCCATGGTGCTAAATGCAGTTTCTCCATTTCAGGTGAAAAGCAGATGCTTATAACAGTTTGCTAGAGGGATTTGTCTTTGTAATTTTTCCTTAATAAGGTTTAGGTTTTCATAAAAACTTTGTGCTATTTCACGAGTTTTTTTTTTTAGCTGCTTTAGAAAGATTTTAAAAATCTTCACAGGGAACTTGTGAGCCGGTTTTTCCTTCAGTGAATACCTACTATTGTCAGACATGACTTAACCAGCTAGGATACGTTGAGCATTAACAGACATCGTAAGTGCAGCTCCTTCCATCTAAACTCTTGAACACCCACTTTGGACTTTGCCGCTTATTAAATGTGATGCAACATTCCCCTTGTGAGGAGTTCAGACAATAAAATGAATACAACATATTTACTTTTAGATCATTAGATCACATGAAAGGATAACATAATAATGTGACGTTAATGAATCCTCCAACGTTCATTTTAAGTTTCTAGTCTTTATGATTTAGTCTGCTGATTGGCTAGGGTAAATAAAGGGCAAGTCTGGGAGTGTTTGATATATTTTTTATTAACAGCTGCACAAATCACATCATCCCAAACATTTAAAAGATGGCAACCGGGATGATCAGTCAAAGGTGCAACCAAGAAGCCCTCTGTAACTCCCATGGAGTAGCAGAAGCCTACAACTCTGGTGGGAAAATCTCTTGACAAGAAAACTATTATTTGTGTGTTTTTCTCAAATCTGTCTTTTATTCGCCCATCTTG